TAAATCACTAACTCATACAACAACGTACGTGAGTCTCTCTCTGACGATAATAAATAAGTTCAGAAAGAGATGATGAGAAGCACGAATGGCAAAATAGCTATATTTCATTAATTGACAAAAGAGAGAGAGAGAGTAGCATTTAGCTACAGCTCCACGAAAGCATGTTCTTTAGTCAGATTTAGTATTTTAAATACACATAAAAATAGGTTTTAGAAAAAATGACACCCATTAAAACACGTCAAATTTTTTTTTTTTTTTGAAAATCAGCACCTAAAATATTTTAACTATAAATGATAATAAAACGAAAGAAGTGTAAATGTGCATAAAAGTATTTTTAAAAAAATGAAAAAAAAAAGAATTAGAGAGATAAAGATCGAGAGAGGGAGAATCCAAGTGCGATGTGCATGCTTTCAAACGAAATGTGCGACGAGCCGCAATTAGTGATTAAAAGTGATTAAGTTTCTTACTTCTCGTCTCGCATCTCCACTTTACATGTGCTTTTACTTATTCTAATGTGATTATGAACGTTGTTAAGTGAACGAGCAAAAGGAAAGTATTGTATTCTTCCAATATTTCAGAGAAGTGGATGTTATAAAGAAACCAAAATGATATATACCATTGCAAATTAATATATAGATATGAGTGGTTGGGAAAAACGTTTGGAATGGGACAAAAAAAAAATGATATGTGTGTGTGTATAGGTTTATTGTTGGAGCGATGAGAAGTCATTAATGGTTGGAACTTGGAAGTTTTATTTATGGTTTTCTATAAGCATGATTCAATCATCTAGGCTCTAGTACCACTTGTTATTTGTTTAACCTAGCTTTAGTTTTATTATAACCCAACTTAGCATAAGTGAAAAACTTCCAACTAAATTGAAATTTCTCTCCTAATTATACAGAAATTAGATCAACATTATTGATATCAATTATTATTCTTTCTTTTAAATAAAAATAACGTAAAGATGAAACGATCTAATAGTTTTTTTTTGTCATCTACCTTCTCATACTAGTTTATCTCATATTGCATTTTTGGAAACGAATGTTAATGAGATCTTTGCAAGCATTTTTTCCAAACTTAAAAGAGACGAAGGAGATAGGGCCACCACCAAACTTAAGCGTCGAGTCTAATCCAGTCAGATGCTGAGTCAGGGACATGTGACGACTAATAAACCAAGAACCTCATTTTTATGAAATATTTTTGACTTTTTTCTTATTTTGGATAAATTTTCCTTTAACTTCGTATTCATCTTCTCTTTTTCCTTCTTCCTAATTCAACTATTATTGTGCCAAAATTTTGTCATTATAGCTTTTTTTCGTATTCAACTTATAGCTTTTTCACTCCCCCCATGCGTGTTTGAAACGAATAAGCAATTTTACTAATTTTGTAAGGAAAACGTTAACTTCTGTTTACGTGTAAAATGTCATCCATTCTTTTGTAACCATACGATTTAAAGTGAAGCACAAACTTTTCTTTGTGAGTAAAGAAGTTCTTTACTTGTCCGATTTAAATTTCTTTAGATATCTATCTACATCATAGTTGTTCCCTTTTCCTATATTAAAATTGCGAAGGTTTATAAGTCAAAGTCTTAGAAACATGATAACTAATTTCATAAATACAAAGATAGGAACGTTTTCATTTCAACGTTTACCAACGGAGTGTCAAAGTGGGGATGCTATATAATTTGTTTAAGTCTATATCAATTCTTTTTATAAAAAAAAGTTGTGTGACCTTCATATTCATATAGTTGACTACTTGTGTATTTTAATATCTATATCAGAACGTCAATAATACGAATTTAATTCCGAAAATCTTATGAACAAACTTTGAAATGGTTTCGATCATACAACGCTACCAAGAGAGACCATCGCCATTACTCTACTAAAACCAAAAGTAGCATACTATTATCACACGGGCGAAAAATGCAGGTTCCTAAAACTACACTTTATATAAAAATCACGCAGTTAATTATTACTTTACTTAACTAGATAACATGAGATCATATATGAACTCGTGTCTCGTGAGATTAATATCTCCAAGCCACACAACCACGGAACCAAAAGAAAAAACGAAAACAAATGTTGAAATTTTTATTACATGACTTGATGTACACATGTAATAATTGCTTAACCAAAAAGAGAAAGAAGAAGAAGAAGAAAAAAACACAATCACATGTAATAAAAGTTAATTTGTCTACATACTAAGCATGATAAGTGCATATAAAGAAATAGTCAAATTATGAGAACATTTTCAACATGAAAAATAGTGTTTAACAATCCATGTTTTGGTTTAAAGTCAGTGGTGGTTAGGTGTAAAACGATAATAATCTCCAAAACTCATTGACCCAATCGTTAATTTTTAAAAATTCAAAAGGTCCATCACATAATACACGTCTCGCTGTATCAATCTAAACGTACCTCAGTTTTCATACATAAGTGGGTATTTTGTCTTGTAGCTGCAACATCATAGTAGAAAACAAGATCAGATATACACCGTACTCTCACACATAGGCTATTACAGCCTGTGCTTTTAGACAAAGTCAAAAGTGAAAAGATAAAAAAAAAAAAAGTTTTTAAAACTGAACTGACGAAGTCGTCAGGCTTGTGGAGGGGGTTATGACACTTGTCATATCGGGTCTTTCTTGTTAATATTTTTTACCGCGAAACTTGGCGGCTCCGTCGTAGAACCCACCGGGGCAAAAAAATTACAACCGTCCGATGATATTACACTTTATTCGTCCTTAGACCAACATTATTGCAAGG